AAGTGGAAATTTGTGGTTTTTTGGGTGGCTTTTGGGATTGTTTATTAAGAACACAAAGTTGTTACACTACTACCTGATCCACTGACTGTGTCATCAAGTACAGTGTAGTCTGAGAGGACTAGCATCCCATTGCTTAAACATTTGACATCCACTGAAGACAACTATGGAATATGTGATTGTTAGGAGAGTTTAATTAAGATTCAGAATACAATATTTTAGTATCAACTTTCTTGTATATCTGAATATCTTTGTGTTCAGAATTTTGGTGCAATATTATTATTCTTAAATAATTTATAAATGGGAAACCCTATTGATTTTTGTTAAAGAATTTGAATCCCCCCCTTTTTTTTTGGCTGCTGGCTGATACAGGGATTGAACCCTGGACCTTGGTGTTATCAGCCAAATATTTGAATCAGTTTTTTTATATGGGAACAATATATGCTTACTTAAAAATATTTGAAATTAAATATAATAAATTACATTTATTTTGCACTAAATAATATAGCAAATTCTATAGTATATTGTATTATAATATAGTAGATATATTGGAGGAGATCATTTTGTCACTGTCTAGTATATAGAAATTTTATGTGTTTCCTAGATTCCTTTTTTCTTTAGTGATTTTCATTTAAAGTACAGACTAAGTGAAAATTTGCTTAGCATGTGAAATCTTATGAGATTGCAGTTCTTAGCTTTAGGATAATGAATTTATGTTATTTTATTCATTAAGGACCTAAGGACTGAAAGAACAGTGAAAAGAATGAATTCCAACCCTTTGAGGAACATTGAAAAATGCTATTATTAAAATAATAGGTGAAACATTATTTTTATGAAAGAGGATACAGATCCCCAGTCTTCACCAATACAGTGAAATGTTACTTTTAAAACAATGTTCAGTTAAAAAAAAAAAACATCAAAAGGCAGGAAGTTAAAATATTATTTTTCTTAATTTTAACTGACTTTACAATGGTGCACATACTATATCAATTGATGTTTGCTTTGAGTTCAAGTGCTATTGAACAAGTTGAGAAATAAAGCAAAGGAAGAAAAGTTTGTAAAACTGCTTTTGCATGACTCCTAGAAAGTTATTCTCGAATACTCGTATTCATAATTATGTATAAAGGGAATTTATCTTCGAAGTTTTGAAAGGCTTATACCTGTAAAGTCTTTTTACTAGCACTTTCTGGAAAACCAGCTGCACTTATAGAAAGGAGAAATTGCCTGGATTTCCATGTAGCCTTTTTGGGAGTAGTGGGAGAGCTCATCTAATTCTTCCTTATGTCTGTGATGCTCAGATATATCTCTTCACCTCACTTTATCTTGTTGAATATTTGCCTCTAGCTACTTCATGTAGATATCTTACCACAATTTCTAATTTTAGGATCATCTGTTACTTCCTTCCCAACCTTTTACCAACCAGTTGCTCACTATTATCCTAAGAGATACAGTTTTTGCCTTTGCATGTTCTCGGCTTTACTCTTAACACCATTGCTCCAAAGATTTTGTTCTTACTTTTATTACTTCCTTCCCAACCTTTTACCAACCAGTTGCTCACTATTATCCTAAGAGATACAGTTTTGGCCTTTGCATGTTCTCGGCTTTACTCTTAACACCATTGCTCCAAAGATTTTGTTCTTACTTTTAATAACTCTAAATTGATAGTTTCTGTAGAGGTTAAGTAAAAACTGCCTTGTTACAACTTATTATTTTTAATATTATGCAAACTGAGGTAGATTATTACTTCAAAGAAAAATGTTAATACTTTTATGACCACATTTTTCTGGGATCGACTCTATCTATTTAACGATAATCATGTATGTGTTTCATAATTTTATTTTCATAATCAGGCACCATCAGTGGCCAAATTTGTAGTGAAAAATTGAGACTATTTAATACCTCTTCTTAAGGTATGCTAGGATATTATTTCACAGTTTTCTTGATTAAAGTAATAGCTGTAAATTAGTAAAGTGTACAATGAAAGAAAATAGGGATCCTTTGAAAATTAATTTTGAGGGATGCTAAAGCCCTTGAAACCCAGTAAGTGCCAAACTTTGCCTCATTCAGCAGTAAAGTCTGATGGAATAGCATATGGCTGATTGTCAGTAGTCCTGTATTCTAGATCCAGTTTTAACCTAGACACATGAAATTATTTGAAGAACTCAGGTTACTTTTGCTTCAAATCTGTTTTCCCATCTGTTAAAAGGCTAAAAGAATTGAATGTAATTTGAAAGTTGAGTGATAAGAGTTGTAAGTTTCTCTACATTAAGTATCATATATATTCTAGAAATCATGTAAGTTGAGCAAGAAATGCACTTCCTTATTTGTGGGAAAAATTGGAATAAGCCTTTATTTAGAGACTTTTATTTGCAATGGGAGAATGAGAATTCTGAGGGATTTCACTAGTAGGTATTATTTTAGTGCCTACAAATTCTGGAAGCTTTATCTAGTAAATATTAAATCATGTTGCCATTGTGGTCCCCAATATCCCTGCTTCCTAACTTCTTCTCCCTGTAAAAAGGAAGTAATACACATAATATCATCAGAGATTTGTCAGCATTCACCTCTTTTCTCTGTCTCTTTTTCTGTCTCTCTGTCTCTTTTTTTAAATTTTTATTTATTTATTTATTCATTTATTGGGTGAGTAAAGCATTGCTTTCTCTGTTTTAAAGGATGTTATCTCTGATCATTAAATTACAGATAATATATAAAGCAAGGTTCAGTGAATATTTTTTAAAAAGCAGAATTTTTACCCTGAGAAATCTAAGGTAAATCCTTTTTCCTACAAGCTAACCGTTCTTTTATATGGCAAGATCATATCCTTAGAAGTATTTTAAGGTGTTATATTTTTATTGTAATATTTTGTAATCAACCTCATTGTCCTCTCTGTGCCTTAGATTTATAACAATTCCTACTGAGAACATGTGAAGATGCATTATGCTTCTTTGTCTAATGTGTTTGTGACTGCTTTCTTCTATGAATTGAGAAGCCAACTAAACAAAGTAGCAGACAGGCTTCTGAAGGCAGTAGTGGATCATATATTTACTCTGAGATGGTTATAATTCTGTCTCTCTGTCCAATTATCTATCTAATCTACCTATCTATTTCAATCTAACCTATCTTTAAATTAAGTTTATATGCTATATGAAATACCTATTTTGTTCATATAAAGCAGTTTTGGTTTCTTGAAGTCCAAAAGATGATTTGAGCTTTCAAATATATCAGAATTATGCATTAAATATTCTTCATATGATCAAAAGTAAAGAATAACTCAACTTTTTCTGGAGACTGTGCCTTCTCAGTAAGACAGGATTGCCCCTGCTTCCCAACCTGCAAGAGTGACAATATAATTAATTTTCTGAATAATACCAAACTAAAGAATATTAAATCAACTTGCAAATAATAAATTAAAAGTTAAAATAGAATTATGTTAAATATTCACTATGATTTACTAATTTTTATTAAATATGAAGGTCACCAAAACGTAGATACTCATTTAATAAATATGAAGGGTACATTGAATTTATTCAATATATTTAATATGTAATATCAATTAATAAAAATTGTTGAAATAATGAAATTTCAGCTTGCTACATTTTAATTGAAGATAAATGTAAATATAAAATGTCCAGTGATATTAAATGGTGCATGGCTACCTGATTTAATAAAAGAATATGTGAACAAGAGCAACTTCATTAGGAGGTGACAGAGACATTCTCTGTGTATCATTGTTTGTTGCCAATAGCAGTTGCTGTGTTAGTGTGACTGCACCATTAAATTCTCTCAGCATTGGAGAAAAAGAATCATAATCTATTTACAATTGAATTGTGTCCCCTTGTTTCTTGTGGGGAAGGCATCTCCTATTCATAGGATTTTATTATTTTTAGTAACAAATTACATTTAGTGGAAAGCAGTCTGCCTCATAACTTAAATTTGCTGAAATTATATCTTGAATCTCCTCAAAATTTGGGGGGAATGTATTTCTGTCATTGTCAGATGAAATTTTTTTACATCACTATTATTACTAGTCCAGTAATTAAAATTATATTAATATTTTTCGACATGAAAAAAATTAACTGTAACATAAAAAGTTAATATACAGCCACATTAGATTAAGAAAACATAACTTTGAAATGTGCTAATGTAGATGAACAAAGTTAGTTATGTTGAAATAAAAGTTAAATCTGAATTAAATATCTGAAGATTTTGTCTAACTAATTTTGCTCATGTTCAGTGTAGTGCTATAGACTTTGATGCCAACTGTAGGTGTAAGTTTGCTGCATCATTTTGTTTTTATTAATTTGTTTTAAAATGTAGTATCATAACATTTCTTTATTCATAAACACTGAGACAAATGTTTTATTAGAGTTTTTCACAAATCAAATTTAATATTTTATTCTTTTTTTTTTGTCTTTTTGTCTTTTTGTCTTTTTCCGTGTCCGGCAACGGATCGCAACCCTCAGTGTTGCCCCCGTACCGGACCGGGGACCGGCAACGGGATTGCAACCCTCGGTGTTGCTCCCGCGCCTCTCTCAGCCAGCGAGCGGGAACCAGTCTGTATGTGGGATC